CCCACCCCTGCGAGTGCATTTTTTGCCTTCGTTTTGTCTGTAGCCCTAGGCAACGGCAGGAGGAGAGAACTGGTTTCCACCAGCCCATTGTGTGGCCTTCTCCAAGGTCACCAGCGGGCACTTTGTACAGGCTCTAAGCTGTGGAGTAGGCCACGTTAACCCTTTGGGGCTGGGCTGGTACAGTCATCTCCTGGAGTAAACGCCTTGTGTGAAGACAGCCTCATACCTGCCGAGTCAATTCTTTATGGCTGGGAAAGTCAGCCAGAGGCCAGGCTGAGTGCCTCAAGTTGGTCGTGACTCAGAACCAGCCTGGGCCCAGAGTGGGCACACCCAGCTCCTCCGTGGAGCCCAGGGGTAGTGGGTGCCCTCATGATTCACAGCTACTCACCACTGGGGAGGTAGCCAAGAGCCATCATCAGCCAGAGGCCTTGTGGTCCCCTCCCTGTTGGGTCCCTTTGCTTCCTGAAGCCCAGTTTACGCACCTTGCTCCCAGGCTGGTCCTCCATGCAGCCCTGTCCTGGGACCAAAGAAGCAGACTCCCAGCAGGCCCCCACAGTACTAGAGGAGCCTGAGTGGGTACTCAGCTCTATGAGAGGTCCCACTGCTCCTCTGCTGTAGGCCTCCAGCCAAGGCCATTGAGAACTGGCCAGGCCATCAGTGATCCCTGGAGTCACATGCTCTCAGACCCTGACGTCTCTCCCTGAGCCGTGCAGGCTGGTGACCAGTGTCTGCCACAGGCTGGCTCCCAGCGAGATTCTGCTCTCAGAGCAGCTCTTACACTCTGAGAGCCATTGAGGAGGGCCTGGCTTGTGTGCCACTCTGCCCTCCCCTGTACACAACAGCCTCACTGCAGCCCCACCTCACAGCAACCTGCAGCAGAGAAGACAATGGCTCCCCTTTGCATGTGGGGAAACTGAGGCATGAGTGGTCACATAGTTCTGAGTGTACCACTGCTCCCTGCCTCTGTGGCCAGTCCCTCTACAGTGCTCAGCCCCTCCAAAGTGCTTCCTTATCTGGGTCTGGGCCTGGGGTCCAAGCGGGGTGCCAGGTCCCTGCAGTGCCTGTCCAAGGATGAGCATGTTAACAGGCACACGGGGGACTTCTCCCACGCAAGCCAAGGCCTTTCTTGTTCAGTGACCGTTTCCCGTGCTCTGCCTCCTTTGTGACACCCCTTAACATAGTTCATCTTTTCTGGGTGACCCTGCCCTGGTTTCTTGATGTAGTCTAGGGGTATGTTCTTTCATCTACTCATTTCCCAGCGAACACCACACAGCTGCTGTGTGCTCTCCTAACCCCGGCCCTAGGACAGCATCTGGGACTGGCTTTATCCCCGGGAGATGCCCACACTAAGCCAGAAGGCCCATTTTTCTCACAGCTTCAAAATGACTGGTTTCACAGTGTGTATGGACCTCGGTGACCAGGCCTAAGCACTTTGACAGAACTTAGCAGTAACACAGAGAGCTGGCCCGGGACTGCTGCACGGCTCCTGTGTACCAGCATGGCGCGTGTGTGAACATGCCGTGATGCTGTGTGTGTCTGTGGCTCCTGTGTACCAGCGTGGCGTGTGTGTGCACATGCCGTGATGCTGTGTGTGTCTGTGGCCTGTGTACCAGCGCGGCGCGTGTGTGCACATGGCGTGATGCTGTGTGTGCTCTCCTAACCCCGGCCCTAGGACAGCATCTGGGACTGGCTTTATCCCCGGGAGATGCCCACACTAAGCCAGAAGGCCCATTTTTCTCACAGCTTCAAAATGACTGGTTTCACAGTGTGTATGGACCTCGGTGACCAGGCCTAAGCACTTTGACAGAACTTAGCAGTAACACAGAGAGCTGGCCCGGGACTGCTGCACGGCTCCTGTGTACCAGCATGGCGCGTGTGTGAACATGCCGTGATGCTGTGTGTGTCTGTGGCTCCTGTGTACCAGCGTGGCGTGTGTGTGCACATGCCGTGATGCTGTGTGTGTCTGTGGCCTGTGTACCAGCGCGGCGCGTGTGTGCACATGCCGTGATGCTGTGTGTGTCTGTGGCCTGTGTGGCCTATGAACTGGGACCTCCAGTGATCCCTCTGCTCAGACTCATGGCCTCAGAGGTGCCATCATTCCTGGTCTTGGGAGCCAATACCAGATCAAGCCTGTCTCTCCTGCAGCAAAGTCTGGTGTGGCCAACGCACTGAAGAAGTTGTTGTCCAGCGTGGGAGGTGGGGAGAGGTGCCTTCAGGGTTTAAAAAAACCACCCAGCCCTGCTTCAGGCTTCAGGCTGTGGTTTCAACTGAGATGTTCCCAGAGATGGGTTTTGCTATTTGTTACCTGAGCCCAGAAGAGACCATCCACTTTCCCTCCCTCTGGCTGAGACAGAGGCAGCCCCTGACCCTGGCGTGGCCTCCAGGAAGGAATGTGCAAGGATAGGGTTCCATGGGGGCGGGGGGGGTCACAACAGAAACCTGCCCCAGAAAGCTGTGTAGAGGGCTGGACTGTGGGGCCTGCATTTGGGGCCCCCAGGTTCCAAGCCTGTCATCCTGTACCCTGTACCTCATTGCCCTGAGACCCTCTTCACACCCTGCTCTCCACTCCCACCCCCACCCCCAATGCTGCAAGCTGCCTACCTAGCACCTTCCTCAGAGCCTGACACTCCTCAGCCCAGACCCCACATCCCAGTCATCCCCTATTGTAGATCCGCCCTGGTCGGCCTTGATACCCATTTACCTGGTCCCCGGGCCTCATACTCCTCTGAGCAAAATCTTCCTCCCAGATGTCAGACAGGGGACTGGACCTGAGAAAAACCTGGAAGATGAGGAGGTCTGGTGGGGGCTGCAGACCATAAGAACCCAACACCCAACCGGATAGTCCCTAGCCCCTTGGGGGGGGGGTGCTCAGCACCTGCAAGCCAGGTTAGAGCAGTAGGCCTGGTGGGCTTGGCTGGGCTAGGACTCCTCCCCAGAGTGAGGACGGGATGGAGACCACAGTGGTACCGTGGTCTGTCAGCTGTGCCAGGGGTGTGGGTGCCCAGGGCCACAGCACAGAAGCTTGTGCAGGGGTAGGACAGAGCCCATAGGGAAGGTGCTCAGGAGGGCACTTGGTGGGCATGTGCATGAATGACCAGAGGTAACCTGGGCACTCCTGTCTCCTCCTGAGTCCATCAACTCACTTCGAAAAGAGATGGGTGGCAAAGGGGGCCCACCCAGCTTCCTCCTCTGACTCTCCAAACCAGCCCTCCAGCCTCAGGGATGCAGAGCCCCTACCCAGTACCAGGCAGGAGCCCAGGCACCCCTTCCCAGATGGTGCCCTGGGAGGCCTGGGTTCTGTGCCTGCCTGATGGCTTTTCAGCCCCATGGACCACCAGAGGCCCTTTGCCCTTTTACTTCCTAGCTAGCCCAGTTCCAGGGCTCAGTCAGGCACAAGACCAGGGGGTGGGGGGCCGGGGAGCAGCCCAGCGGGGGAGAGGGTGGCCAGTGTCTCCGAGAACCCAGCGTGGCACAGTAGGCAGGAAGCACCTCAAGAAAACGCAGGAGCCAGGTTCCTTCATCTCTGGTTTTATTGAAAAACAGCAGCATCGGGGGCGTGCAGGCAAAGGAGCACAACCCACCCCGGCCCCCCACGGCCTGTCTCCTTGGGGACTTGGCTCATTGCCCCAGGCCCTGGGGCTGTTTTGGCACATCCCGGGGTCTCAGGACAACCCCCCGCCCGGTCGTGGGCTCACAGTACAGTTTTAGGAACAAACTACAACAGGTGAAACCCACCCCAGCAACACGCCACAGGCTGCGCTCACCATGGGCCACATCCTCACACCCGGCCGGATTCTCAGCAGGGTGTCACACTGAGGGGCCTCCAGCAGCCCTGGCCTGTCCTCAGCCTGGAGGCAGATGTACGGGGAGGCAAGGTCTAGGCAGAGGCTTGCCCCCCATCTCCCTCACATGCCCACCCCCTCCATGCCAGCTACGGAGTAGGAACAGCGCAGCGCTACATTCACACCCGAGCTGGGCCCTGGGCCTGGCACGGGAGGTGGTGGTCACTGCAGGGAGGTGCTGGCCAGCCCTGTCCCTGGGCACCTTGGCAGCAGAAGGCCCTCCTGCCGGCAGGCCCTGTCCCTGGGCACCTTGGGAGCCGGAGGCCCTCCCACCGGCCAGCCCTGTCCCTGAGCACCTCGGGAGCAGGAAGCCCCTTCCCGCCGGGTGCCCTCCCCATCGCTTCACATGCACACACACGCGTTCATACACAGTGTGTACACACATGTACACATATACATGTTCACACATGTATATACACACAAACAGGTGCACAGGCACACACACATACACAGGCATACTCCTTCTGTAAAATGGCTAATTATTGATTTTTTTTTTTTTTAAAAAAAAAAAAAAACATGCAACAATGGTATGTCGGGGCTCATCTCCTTCACCCCAGGCTCTGGGTGGCTCTGTGCGTCCCACTGCCCACCCTTCATAGACGTCACACCCGCACTGGAAGCATGGTAGCAGCAGCACCAAGGAGAGACACAGTCCAGGGTCTGCCCACCCCAGCCCAGAATGCAAACCCCAATAGCTTCAGCCAAAGAACATGGGTTTGTGGTCAAAGCAGATTCAGAGAAGAGGCTTCTGGACAGACACGGCGTGTCAGCAGGTAACAGGACGTGCGGCTCCTCCCTCCCTGGGCATGGGCAGCCTTGTCTGCCACAGCCCTGTGCTGGCTGGGGGGGCCCCTCCGACCCCCCCAAGAGCCCCCCCAT